TAAGGTAAGAATATCTTGTCGTATAACATGTCTCTGCGGCAAACTTTGCTCACATTTCATTTCGTGAATCGAGTACGTGCTTACACAAGTTAATGCAAAATATTTGTCTTCTTATGATACTGCAAAACGAATCATGGCGAAAATGAATAATGCGTTAATCCCATCCCTCTTCAATTCTTCGCCACCAGTATCAACAATTTATTGTCCATGCGGCCGGATTCTTTATCGACAAGAAACAAATTAAACGCTGCTCAGTATTTCAGTATTTAGTTATTATCACTATCGGCGAACAAAGTTAAAACCGCGAGTTCCGGGGAAAAATTGTTACCGGAAATTTCCTGATCGCCTGACGACGGCGACGGATTTAATTTTCGATTAAAAAAGCATCAGTTTCTGCCGATTTTCTCGAAGCTGCTTGCATAGCCTGCTCGAACCGCCTTACAATATCCTTTTTTTCGCGGCGTGGTTTCACTTTCACGCATATCTCTCAGTAAATATTCAGAATAAAACAGCAATCTCTTTACCAAACGTTGAAAGACATAGTACTAAAATTTTTATTCTATAAATAATTGAACGAATGTGTTGCGAAAATTTGAACAAGAAGAATTATGAAATAAAATATTTTTATGTGACTCCAGTAGATGCTTGATTCGATAACAAACGGGGAGAGCGAGAGATCCATGTCACTAGATATACATAGCCCATAAAAAAATCCTCGAATAAGTCCCCTTAGAATTACGTTTTTTTATGCCATTTCGGTTTCTCTGGGATCTCGGATTTTTTGGAATTTTTTCCTCGACGTTTTAACTTCTTTCAACGAACGTTGGTTCCGCTCTTTTACGCGAGACGCGTATGCACATGAGACGGTAAAAGTCGCGCAGCCTCCCCCAGGTGCCAGGTACATAAATTCGCCGGCATCCCAACGGCTCCTGGAAGATATTTGAAAACTTCGATAGACAATCGAGACACATTGTGCCTTGGAACAACGGCGAGACGAGTCTCTTCTCGCCTCCCTCGCCGATATATCCTTCGAGTTTCTTATCATTCTTCCCTGAATCGCACGAGAGGATTGCATTTACGTTCGACAAAATGCAGCTTTACGTCGCTCTCCGACTCCCACGACACATATAGCGGATGCATATCGACGACATGTGTCTCTTACAATCCATTTCCGAAGTTGCATGCGCGATACGGGTCGTTTTGCTCGTCAAACTTTAAGAACGACATAGAAAATCTCTAAAAGAATCTCGAATGTTGTCATGTGAATTATATATATGAAATATTAAAATTTAAATATGCTATAATGCAAACGCGACTGCGCATTTTTATATCTAGATACTTTAATATTGTACGTTTAATAACATTGCATTTCCATAAAGAAAAACCACATTTTTACAGATTCAACAAATGCAAATACACCTAACGTTTTATCGTATCGCGGAGAGGAATTGTAATCAGGGACGCGTGTATAAATGCAACAGTACGGAAGAGAGCGATTTCGTGGCAAAATCGCGCTGCAGACACGCGCGTTCAGGCTAATATCCGACAAGCGGGTTGTAAGGCAGAAAGAGTCCGGATGGAAATTTAAAATTCATATCGAGCGTGTAAGAGTTCCGACGACGAAGCTCATTAGAGACGAAACGAGATAAAGTTGTGCGGGACTCGTGAGTAAAAATTCGTTACGCGCGCACTGGGATATTAATCTGATATGTCCAATTTGCGCAATCACGTGCTCTTCGTACATGTCAATCTACGGGAAATCGGTAGGAAAATATAGTCGGTATAAATAAAATTGAAACGTCATCTGAACGAATGATCTGGAAATTTGTCGGTATTATGATTGATTATCAAAAATTAGCGTTATTGAAATTGATTGTCGTCTTCACTACTTTTTTATATATAACGAACTGTCAAAGAATGCGAGGAGCATTGACAATTCTCCTGCAAATCGTCGAATTTATCAACGCGTCGATTAAATGTATCTCTGGGAAAATCCCAGTGTCCTCCATTTCCGCGACATTTCTGCGGATTTGATTTTACGTATCGACAGATTGCAAACTGCACACAGAGAGCAATTCGCGTAATGGACACGAAGTTTGACTGACAGTTTCCCTTAATCGAAATTACTACGTCGATCATCATCTACTAGGACCGAGGGCGTTGACTTATCTCGCGACGATCGAAATCCAGTAGAATGAATTAAACGTGCGCATACGAGATGAAAACAAAGCCTCGCGTTTATAGACATTTAGCGTTAAATACGGTGTGCGAACACGCGTCAGAAATTGTCGACTTCTGCGCTCCGGGGTTACAAATCCTGGTTATATTGTTCTAGGCGCGCGCGCGTCGACTATGCGAGAATTATTCAACGGTCACGGAGCTGATTTTCTCTCTCGCAGCGGATTCCAATTCTATTGCTATTGGAAATTCTATACGACTTAACGCCGAGAATATGGAATAGCGACGGCCACAATGCTGATATAATGAGCATCGGACCGTGGAGCAACGAACCCGTGGAACGCCACTCTCGGATTTATGGTGCTGATCGAACGTAGTGCGTCTCTCTCCTGCTTGGATTCTTGAATTGAGACGCTTATCGAAACGATTAAAATTGCTGGATAGAAATTTCCGTTCGTCGAAGAGACCGAACACCGTGAATCGGAATGTTAATATTATCGCGGGGTGCGCACTTTTCTCCCTTCGGGAAATCATTAAGATGAACGAGATAAAATATTAGAGACGGGGAAATATATAATGGGAAGATTTATTGATAGAAATAACGTGTATATTCCGCTAACGCCAACGAGATCATCGCGTAATCTTTGTATTGAAAAAAGCAAACTCTGTATGTCGGAAGGAAAGAAAGGGAGGGAGGAAATAATAGATTTTATAAAATAATTAATTTATTATGCGTACACACGCGCGTAAAAGATTAATTATATGCGGTATTTTGACATATAAACTACAAATATTATTAACGGTAATAATAATTTATACGAATAGAGCCATAGAAGCAATAATAATGTCATAGTTATGTAATATTAATATAATAATATTAATATTGGCAATAATATTAATCTTTCATATCGGTTTGTAAACCCGTGAAATACAGACCTGCTGTCATTTTCATGCCGAATGTATATGTATTTGTATAAGCGGATATTTTCGAGAAGTCAAGAATCGCGAGACCATACGGGAATGAAATGAAATAACTTGAAGAAGTGGTTGTCTGTCACGCTCACACAAATGTTGACAATTTGCGTGACACTGAACGCGAAGTTTCCACTTTGCGCGTCATCGATATTTGGATACAATACCCGTCGGAAATTTGGACTACGAGACTTGGCATGTGGAAAAATAACGGGGAATCACGTCACAATACACACAATACATATACTCGCAATAAAGGCTTTCAAACAATGAGGCCGCATACTGCATGAAAGTGAGGGAAACAATCGTGGAAATTGAATGTCAGATGTCAAAAAGTTTATTGTCGATACTCGGTCCCGAGCTAATTGTCGTATAAGAATGTCCGAAAATATGATTTATCAGAAGAGATTTTATATTTAATTATTTAATTCGAATTTATACTATCAAGAGCTCCGACCCTCTCTCTCTCTCTCTCTCTCTCTCTCTCTCTCTCTCTCTCTCTCTTTCTCTCTTCTCTCTCTCTCTCTGCGCGTAAAATCATTTGTTAACACAAATGTATTTATATTAAAGCACGCAATCCAGAGAAGCAATTTTCGAAATTAACTTGTCGCGGTTAAATGGAATACCGTAGCTTCGACACACTTTATCAGAGCATCATCTCCTCCAACGTTAATTTCCTCTGGCTCACCATGTATAAGGATGCAGTCACAGTTATTGGAAATTCCGCGAGACTATAGAATATGGAATGGCGCTGTTCCGGATGCTTTCATTCGCCAATAATGTCATAGTGATAAGCCTTGGTAACGTGGAATGTAGTATAAGTGTGCAATGACGCATGTACGACTCTCTTATGCGTTACCTAATACGATATCTGCAGAGCGCGTTGAGGATTCTTACTTCGTTGCACGAAAAAACGAATATCGTCCGTTAAAGATCGGGACAAAATAGTAAAATATGTGAAATATCGACGAAGATACCTTTCTTTGTCTCTTCGTATATAAATCAGACGCATTATTTCTATTAAAATCGGTATAAATTATAAGAGAAAAATCATTTATATCAGAATTAAAGAAGTAGTCCATAATTCTTCTTGCTATTCAAACATATCTCGCGTTATCATCTTTTTTTTTCTTCTCAAAACGCCATATCAGATATAATCGAACACATTTACGATCGAAGATATAGATTGCCGTTCTTATTATACATAGGTACATCCGAAAATGTGTGTACACCAAGTCGCAGATAAACGCCGATATCTTTCGTTGGGAGGCCTTTATATCGAGCAGTAGCGACGGAGGGCGATGGAGGGTGCCCTGCGGGAGAAAAACGTGAGGTATCTTTACGCCCTCAATTCCGTTCCGATACGCGCCAACGGGCGTAGCGAGGAACGGCTGTGACGGTTCGCCTTAACTTCGTACGCCTCTCTTCGTGCAAGGAACGTACAAGAAGCATTTTACGGAAAGCAAAGCGGAGCGACGGCGCCACGGTACCCTCCTCCACCCTTCCGTCTCCTTGTCCGTTCCAACCCCCGTTATATCAAGTTGCACAAAACTCGTTAAAATTCCGCCGGTCGGTCCGTCCTTACAGCCGGTACAATGCGGAAATCATTTGACGGGGAGGAAAGTAGGGGCGGAAGGGTGAAGGAACAGGGAAAAGAGATCGCGGCGCAGCCGCTCGATCACCTCTCTCTCTCTCTCTCTCCCCCTTTCTCCCTCCTTTCTATCTTTTTCCTCCCTCGACGGGATGCTACAACATCCGGAGAGGGAGGGAGAGCCGCCGTCTGTCGGTCGTCTGCTGCGCGATAAAACGAAAAATTGCTCGTCCATGTATGTACAATGAGCTCGATATGCGTGGACGCGGAACCGCGTGCTTTGATACCGGATATCACTCGCGAGTGTCAAAGCGCGGCTGACAAACGCGATCGGCTCGACACGTTGCGTCATTCTCGCGTTTTTTAATTCCTTAAAAGTGTCGCGACTGTATAATGAGGCGCGACATATATAAATACGGGAGCGTGAATTTACTCCGACGCATTTGCAAGCTCGTGAACTGCAGTCGAAGACACTTTCATATACGCTTCCACTTGACTCCAGGAGTTGATAGGTAATAACGAGCAAATCTTATGGAGGCAAAGTAGAGCACCAGACGTTCGGTGATTAAGATGTTAAATACGCGTCGTAAATTAGCGCCGCGCGCGGCGACGAGGGAGGAAATCATTAGGAACGTGCAATTATCGTCACAATCGGTTTACCCCGCGTCGGGCGCATCTTCCCCCGACGATTGGCCGCGGTGTCTCACAATGCCGGGCGTGGCAATTTTCCACAACCGCAAGAATTAATTTCCGCGTCGACTTTATGCGCGTACGCGGGCACTAAAACACCCCTTCTCCCTCCTGTCGCCGTTTATTTGCGAGGGTGGAAGAAGAGGGAATATGTTGTGCAGGAGACGGGAGGGATGTTTCGAGAGATCCGACACCTCATGCACGAATTTTCGGCCGATTTCATCCTGTAACGCCGAACGTGCTAAAAATTCCAACCGAGTACGATGGGAAAATTCCCTTCATCGCGCCCAGCCGTTAATCCATTTTGTTGGCCGCCGCGATTTTGAAGTTACTGGAAAATTCCAGGGGGGAGGTCCATGAAATCCCAGAGATTTAACTTTGTCGGAAAGGATGACTCGACTTAAAAATGTGTGCTATAAATGTTATCCGTTTGAAATTATTCTTTCTATCGAAAAATAACTCTTACAATTTTTAAAACAGATATATCTTGAAATAGTAAAGATATATTAGATATTTGCGATAACAAGACTCACACGATACGTATTCTTCCAACGTATCCTGGATTAATAGAGAAGGAATTTTCGTATTCCTTCGTTTACCGGTATCGAAGAAGCTTCCGCCGTGACGCGCTTATTCTTCGCGAGGGTGAAAAAAATCTCAAGCTGCGAAACATCACAATCAGAATTCATCGTGGGGTTAGCACGTACAAAATTGCAGAATCCGCTAGATGAGTGGTGCGTGACGCTGTGCATTCAGATTCTCTCTTCTCTCAGGAAAATCATCTTTCTGTTTTATCGTATTGGATATATTAAAATTTGTTGAAACATGCAAACCGCGCTTATGTTGCAGCCACTTATACACAGATTGAAACAGTAATAATTATACAAGTCGGATCTAATCACGATGTGATCGCAGATAGTGGATCTCCTACTCACCTTAAGAAATAGCATCTTGATATTGGTAAGATAATACTGTCACATAATAATTATAACAATTAATTTTATAGTAATTGATTATAGAACAATTATTATTAATAATTTATTGCCATTGCTGTATTATATGAAATTCCTTAAAGTAGAGTATATATATCATATTATAAATAATTTTAATTGTTCTCTTATTTTCTTTGGTATTAATTTTTTGACGTTGTTTATTTTATTTATTATTATAGTTATTTTAATATAAATCGAGCTTTTTTATCCGTATTTTCTTTTCCTATTTGCGTTTATTAACGTTAACAGTTTTGTCGACAAAATCAGGCATCGTTATGTTGCAAAATAAATGATATATCAATTATTCATTACGTATCACGTAGAAAAACGCAGCATCCATGACGCGTGCTGAGCAGTCTAGAATCTTGACTCTCATACTTTCTCCTTCTTTGCACTTTCTGCCAGGAATATTGATCGAGATTATATTAAATCTCACGTATTCGACGACTGAATGTAGCATGTGAATTAAATTACCGGAATGTTTCTGAGATATAAGAAAAATTTATCTACAATCAAAAAGAAATCTATTGATTGTACTTTTAAAAAGAATAACATTTTGCATATTATTAGAAACAAGAAAAAATAATAGTTCTTATAAAATAAAATAGCCTCTTTAAAAAAAAGTAGAGACTATTTTTTTATATTATAATAAATTATTACAATTAATATTAATTACATTATTATTGGAAGAATATTAACATTGTACTGCATTGTCTCCTCTCTTAAATCTTGTTTATTTCGTTCGAAGCCATGCAATAAATTCAAGGGATATAAACGTAGGTCCATAAAGAAATTTGTCATAATTCTCAGTCGCAATCGTATTCCAAGAAGAGAAGCAGAAATTGTCTTAAAGTCTCGACATGCGACATATTTGCAATTTTAAAACGGTTTTATCCCGCGTCATGCACGGAGGGCCATGCGAGTGTCATGATGCGTAGCGAGGACTCGCCGTGAATATCCCTTTTCCGCTTTTTTATTCGCTCTAGCGGGAATATTGACGTTATATTAAATCTCGCGGAGTCGGGAAAGTGATTTATCGGTAGCTCCGGCGAGAGGAAGAGCCGGTGAGGAATAGGCGGAAG